ACAAAACAAGTTCAAAGATAAAGTCATTATTATAAGGTGGTGACAACAGAGCATTGAGCCAAGCATGGGCCTTTCTGAGTGTGGGGCCTGTTCACCTCCACGGGCTGCAGGCATATGAAGCTGACCCTGCCCATTTGTTTCTTAAGTTAAGATCACTCCGTGCAGCCGTGCCTCACCAGGATTCTCACTGGTCACAGTTTCTGGAGAAATTTACAAAAGGAGATTAGCCTCCTACGGCTACCATTGGCCCCAAGGTTGGAACTGATGCTGACCATTTGCTTCCCTCCGTGCCGCCCATTCTAGGCTCCCCTCATCCTCGACTGGCACTTTTTAGTGGGATGGCCTGAACCCTCATCCCTCTGAGCCCCTGGTTACCATGCCCTTAGCAGGCCACACGCATGGGAGCGCCAGAGGTGCCTCAGTGGCTCCCCTCTGGGCCATACATATCCTCTGTGTTCCCATTCTACAGCAACAGCCCTATAACTTATGGGGATTCCTCCCCCTGCTGCTGCTCCACAGGCATGAGCAGCCCACGTGACCATGCAGCAGCCATAGCTTTAGGGTTAGTGGAATTCTTTGTCCCTGCCCAACAATCAAGACATCTAGACACATAGAGCCTGATGTTGCACGGACAAGAAGCCCAAACTCCCATGATCACTGGGAGTGACAGTGAGCTTAGCTACTCCTCCTTGGTTCCCAATCCATCTTTTCTCCCTGTTGGAGACACAGCATCACATAAAAGCCAATGGCTTAAGGAGGAAAGAACATCAAAAAAATACTGACCCATCTCACAGGGTGTGACTTCCAAGCTAGTGAAGCTGATGCATCTTTAGGGGACCCCATTCCACTGCCATCTCAGATTGGAACTTCCGGATGGCATGGTTTGTATAGGAGCAGTGGCTCCCCAAGTCATATGACCTCTGCTACACTTATTTTGCTGTAAAGTGGGTCCCTTGGGCTGTGGAGATGTGTTTTCTCACATTGACGAATCATATACTCCGTGAGTATTCAGAGAGCGGTGCTGACCACGGCCATAGAGTGTCTGATTCTCACTGTGGAAGACCATATAACACCACCTTTGACCAAGGGACCCACTTTACTGTCCTTCAATACAGGGGATCAGTGTGCTGTTTTGTGGACGATCTGGATAGTCCAGATCCTTTTGGGCTGTAGAGGGCAGGAGATGAACAGCCTTGGGACAAGACTGAATAGACACTACTGCCCGTCCCAAGTAAATCCATTTGCTTCTGTTCCTTCTTCATGGGGATGGAAAAGAATACATTTTGCATTTCAGTAGCTGCAGATCATGGGCCAGCATGATGTTAGTCTACTTTGGTAAAGATATTCCATCCTGCAAAACAGGTACAAGTGGGGCTACAACTTGGCTATGTTTGTATTAAGTTTGTAAGGGGGACATGATGGGAATCACCCCCAAGTCTTGAGAGTGGCATTTTGAGGATGCCTCTAACTTACAACATTGTTTTTCACTTACTTACCATCTTGGCTTGGTGGGAGTTGGGTATAGGTTGGGCATTTCACAAGTGTATGCTTGATGCCTCCTACTGTAAGAGCTCTTACCCTACAAGTCAAAGAATCAATGTCCACCGCTAAGCAGGTCCATTCCAATTACGTATCTAGAAACTGGAGGAAATGATCAGTGTGTGGTTCAGCAAACCCAGGCAATCCACTTTGAGAAGGACCTGGGCCAGGACTACATTTATCACCTGACCCTTATGTGCCCCTGTTCTAATTGGGACAATGATGGCACTTTGTGTACCCGGTTATCACATCAACTCTGATCCTATATCCACCAACCCTTGGAAAATCTAGGCATTTCCCCTTCCCCAATAGACTCAAACAAACAACCAAAGATCTCTTTGGGAAATAAGCGAGAAGCACACTTACCGTGATGTTAGAGTTTTGTTTGTGGGGACCTGGCCTCTCATTCAGTCACTGGGTTCCGAGTCTGAGAAGTGACTCAGATGTAGAAATCTGGCAAAGGATCATGTATTTCCATTAGGGCAGTGGATGCCAGCATTCTGCTAGTTCGTATTTGATCACTTTCGATTATGTATATTAAGCAGTACTTTTATTGACTGCTCATCTGTCTTGCTCCTAAGAACACCATGTTCTATTAATCATCAACACAGAAGACCCTGTGAGTCAGGCCCCCTTGTCTCCTAGTCCAACCTGCTGCCCATTATAGTCATACATGGCTATCTTGCTTCTGAGAGTTAGGTGTCACCCAGCCTTTGATAACCTGGGGTCCCATCTTCCACGTTGATACAAAGGAGTTCAGTTTTGTAATGGTTTTTCCCACCAGCCTGTAGCAGATACCCAATATTTAGCTCTTTGATGTTGTTGGTTCCCCTCCACCAGTCGATTCCTTGCTATCTTGATTAATGGAGAACCCTCCAGATCTCAAAAAAAACACATAGTCTGCTGGTGACTTTTCCGGTCTTGTATCTTACAGCCATTCTAGCATGCCTACTTCTTTGAGCTTTACATTCCCTTCTCCACAGCATGCTAGAGCAGTTCTGGAACCCCTGCTTCTTTATTCTGGGCCACAGCTTTCGCCAAGCTTCTAAGAGCTACTCCAGCAACACATTTGATCCTTCTCCCAGGGCTCCAGGGCTCTTGCCAGGCTGTTAAATCCTATATCACTGGTGACCCCAAATCAATAATCTCTCCTTACCCAGTTTCATATTCTGCCTCCTTGGTCTAACACCCTCAGGGTCCATACCCAGCCATTCTCTCCCACTTGCTACTCATTCATGTTAACTGGGTTCCTCTCAGAGATCTTGCACTTTCCCAGTCAGCTCATGCTGAAAGTTGACCCTATTGTCAGGCAAGCGGTCAGAAGGAGTAGTGCAGGCCAAACCTGAGAAAGGCTTTTGCATTGTCATCAAATGTGTCAAGATAGGAGTGGGGCGGGGTCTGCATTTCCCAGTAGGAGTCAGTGGGTTACGTCTACAGTCCAAGAGTGCTCAGGAGGGCCTTGGGGATCAAGGATGCTCATGTGCATCACCCACATCGCAAGATCCCACTGCCTCTCTGTGAAGGGCCTGACTTTGGCATAGGTGACTCGCCTGAGCTGAGAATTCAGCCTTCTCTGAAGTTCTACAGCTCTTACAGTTAAGTCTTGTATCTGGCCTTCAGTTCTTCCTGCCCTATAATGAAAGGAGATGAGAACCTATTTAAATGCCACCTAGGAACCCCTCTGATTTTCACACTTTGCTCTAGCTTGGTGATTGATTGCCCTGAGCCTGTCGTCTTCTCTCCCCAGTCCTTATAATGACTATTTCCCCATATCGCTCAATGCCGGCAATAGTACTCATATCAGTTCCGCTGCTTCCCCCTTTACCCTGCCCCACTTCTCCACAGATGACAGTGTTAGCAGGGGCTCTGCCCCTGCACCCTAGGGATCATCAGGACATGTGATTCACTGGGGCTGTCATTGCCAGCCGAATAGTCCAGGAGCCACCTCCGGAACTACCTCCTAGAATCTACTTTTAGGTAAACTGTGTGGTGGTGCCAACTGTCTCAGGTCAGGTGCCATGGAAACAGAGGATAAGACTGGATTCTGGTGCATGTGATTTATTAAGTAGCTGTTCTTCAGGAAAACAATTTAAAGGAGAGAAGAAAACACGACAGAAAAGAGGAAAAAATAAGATGTGGTCTCACAACCTTGGATTGATGCACAGGGGAGCTCGGGAATGTAAACTGCAGACAAAGTTGTCCTGCCCCTTGAGGTGACAGGGCCAGCCTTTGACTTGAGCTCCCTCAGGAGGTGAAGGTGGGGGCTGGGTGGTGTAGAAGGTCAATTATCCAGAGAAGGGGGCAACTGTGAGCTGTTAGGAGCCACAGACACCCCAACTGGGAGATGGGTGCACCAACCAGGTAAAGGGGATCCAGGGGGCACCAACAGAGTCTACTGTAAGAGTATTTTTCTTACTGTTTGAAAAACATTGCATATAGATGAGTTTACATATACTGCTGTCTATTGAAACCTAATCTGGTAGTATAATTTCTTATTTACAACACTGTCTCCAACGCAAGATTCTAAGCTCCTTTGTGGCAGGGACTCTGTCCTATTCATCTTGGCATTCTTAACTCAGAGGCTGGCATTGAATTGTTACTAAATAAACATTTATCAAATGAAGAGCAGTTTGGGGTAGATCACAGAGCAACTTGAACTCCAGGCTAAGTAATTTGGGTGTGATTCTGTTGGCAGTCAGAAAGAGTTTGAAATGCTTGTTGGCAGCGGTGTGTAATATGTACTGGACTAGGGAGAGAGTGGAGAGAACAGCCAAGAGACTGTTGCAGCAATACAGGCAAAGTAACAAGAGGCAGAATTTCAGCGGAGGCTGTGAGTGTGGCGAGGCAGATGCAAAAAGCCATTAAAGAAAAATTATCTACAAGGTCCAGATGGCCCCAGGCTGACATCCAATATGCAGCCTGTCAGGGATGCTAATCAATCAATTGAGTTAGGAGTTTTGTACTTATCTGCCCCAGGAAGATAGAAGACCATTTCTCATGTTTGCATGGGAGAAACACCTACATAATAAATCCATGTGGGTTTCCTCATTGTCATCATGCACATTTAGGCAAAATCTGTGAAGTAGGCATGGAACTCTTTTCTTTCCCTCCATATGTTGGCTAGAATCCTACAGTCATATCTGAGAAAACCCAACGTCATCCATGTGGAATTTGCTCAGTTCATTAGCACATGGGATACTTAAAATTCAGTTGGTTTTCAGTGAGATTGCTTTCAAATCAGTTATTCTATATGGTAACATATTCTCCAAAGCTGCAGACTGAGCTCATTATCTCGGCTGTATTCTGGACTGTATCCTGGATGGAATAATTTATCCGTGACTCAGATGGATCATATATACATCAGGAAATACGTGGGTTTTTGTGTTTTTTTTTTCTTTTTCTCTAAACTGTTCCAGGCCTTGACTGTAGGCAAAGCTATGGACATTTCTCTCTGATTTCAGGGCTCAGTGACTCTTGGCCAGGGGCCTGCTGTGCACGTTGTTTTCCGAGAGCCAGTTCCTGGGATGCCTGTCACGTGGACCGGACCTGGGTTTGCCAGGGTTCTCCCAGGGGCTGGCTTAAGATTTGCTGTCAGCAACGTCCCCTTTCCCATGGACTTCACCGTGGCCATTCGCTACGAGATGCAGGTACCCTTTAAGTCCAATGTCTTTGGGGGTAAAAAGCTTAATACATCCTCGAACTAAGTATTTCCATTTCAGTCTTATGCTGGTAAGACATGATAGGTTTATCATAAAATGGTTTGCAAAAAGTAGAACATCTGGATGGCATTATACCTCAAAGTGTTTCCTGAAAATATTAAAGCAGCACAGTGAGCCACGTGCACACATGCTTTATTCCAGGGAGAGAAGCTAAGGTTGGAGTTATGCATTTGAGGCCCTAGGTCTAAGGAGGTGGTGATGGAATGTTTGTATAAGAATAATAAATAACTGAAATAACACAAATCCTGCTCTCCTGGGGCTCTTTTTCCAAAAATTTAATAAAGTAACATATGTGCAGAGATTCAGACTCAAAAGATGCAGAAGAGGCATTTATTTGCATTTGGATTTTTTCCCCGAAACAAGAGAAAAACTAAAAGCAGCCTGCTGCTTTTGCCTCCCACTGCCTTCCCCCACCTTTTGAGAAATATCTAAGACAGAATAGAAAGCAAATTAGAAAAACACTTGATCTAGAGCAGTAGTTCCTAATATTTTCTTTGCATAACCTTTTCTTTGATAACCTGAAACCTCACAGACCATCTCCCCTGAAAAATATTCTATATGGCTGGGGGTAGGGGGTGGTCTCAGAGCCCCCAAAGTACTTCCAGGGGTCACATTCAGGAAGTGCTCACTGTGTTATATGACCAGAGATATGACATAATTCTCTATTTCTCATTTACAAATGAAAGCCAATGAACTTTGACCTGGTGAGTACGACAAGAAAGTCATTAAATATATATATATATATATGCACATATATACTTTTCCATAGAAAGGACACATCTCTAAGAGCTATAAAAAGCTTTTCCAAATTGTAAGGCTTTTCCAAATTGTAACAATTGTAAATTGTTAGACACATAAATATATCTAATAATATAATAATGATTAAATAATATTAAATCTTGTAATTGATATGTTTATATAATATATATATATGTACTAATATGATAAAATTATATATCCTTTTGTGAAGAACTCCAAATTTTTATTTTTGTTCTGTGACCCAGGGACACGATGAACTAATCAACTTTTTGGGAGACAGAGGTTAAAGATAAGACCTGTCAGGAGTGCCAGGGTGTTTCTAGGCCTATGAACTATAACTATGGCCAGAGAGTTGGGTTTGAGAGTGAACTTTTAACTCCAGAAGTGTATTTTCCCAGTGGGTTATGGATTGCCAATTCGATTCCATGTACTGTTTATTAGGTTATGCATAACAGGTACCTGCGTCCTCACAGTGACTTGCTTTCATGTCATGCCTGTCTAGCCCACAGCTGACTGGACTGTCCAGATCGTGGTTAAGCCCCCTGGAGGCGGAGAGCACTGTATACACAAGAGCCCACCGCGAAAGCCTCAGTCTTTTGCCTTACCAGTGGCTTCCAGGTACGCTTGGGACCTGTCCTCAAGCATTGAAGGTTTCTTAGAATTTTGTTTATCAGTAATTTGTATCCAGTAACTAAAGTAGGGGAAGAGGTCCATTAAAGAAGACTAAAGAATGCTCCTTTCATATTCCCCCAAAGGCCTTGATGTGAGAAAGTAAAATGCTATAACAGTAAAATACTCAGCTTGAGTTGTCTCAGCTGAGAGTCTATGAGGTACAATGCTGCTAATTTTGAGGCTGTTAATTTCACCGCCTTTTCAGAGATTTATGGCAAAATAAAACAGAAAGCCTGTTGGTGTTAGCATGGTAAAGGACATTTGTCCTTCTGAGCAGTCATGACAACCCAAGGCCAACAGTTGCTAAGGCTTTGCTGTTTGGCACAACTTAGGAAGAGCCATAGAGAATCTGAGTGTGAATTTGCTGACCACCCAACCCACCTGAGCTGGTCTAGACCTACACTTGGCCTCCGCCCCACAGTGGAACCCACACCTCAGCAAGGTGGAACACCACCAAATACTATGGCTGCTTAGGTTATGTAACTGTACTTTGGTAACTGAATTTTTGCTTTTTTCCTCTTAATACAGGATTGTGCTTCTTCCTACACCCATCTGTTTAGAACCAGATATACACTATTCCATAGATGTCTACTTTTCCCAGCCTTCACATAGCTGGTCCCATGCTCATTCACACATCTTGGTTGATTCCGTAAGTATCACAGAGTTTTGTGGGTGCTTCCTTCTGGGCCGAGCTCCATTATAGTTCTGCTTTTTGACTCTCTGGTGAAATGTTTCTTCAGAAATATAAATGTATTTGTTTCCTTCAAAAAATCACCTATTTTCTATAAAAGTGACCTAATAAAAATCGCAAATCTTACAGAACAGCATGTGCCAGTAAGTGTTTTAAGTGTTTTACATATTCTGTTGTGTAGTCTTATAGAGTCAACAACTCTGTAAGGTAGGTACTGTCATTACCCTCAGTTACAAGCAAAAGAACTGGGGCACAGGAGTACAGAGCCACTGGGTGGGGAGTTAGGAGTCGGAGCCAGACTGCTTGATTCTAGAGTCCTTCCTCTGGGCCATGCCAGGTACTGGTGTTACAGAGTTGGACTTTCATTATTATCATCTTGTAAGTTCCCATTTTATACATACTATGCATTTATATCATTGTAATCAAAGTGCTCTTACCAGTATGTATATGGATTTTATTCACTTCACATTATATCACAAGCATTTTTCTTATAGTGCTTGTGAAGTCTTCTCATCATGTTTAGGAACCACGCATAATATTTCCTTGAGTAATTTCTTTCAGCATCTTTCCCCCACAGCATTGAGCCACAGTCATTTTTTCTAAATCTCTCACTCTGTGCACAATTTTAGGCCCAGGCTTCTCATGAGTAGAGTTTGGGCATTGAGTAAGTTTACATAATTTACTCATCTATTCCCTTACTCATGATCATTTAAGTTGCTTCTATTTTTTACTACTATGTATAGTTGGTACATATTTTTTAAATATTTAAAAATATAGTTCTACTTTACCCAAAGTTTTATGGCTCTTGAAATAACTTATCAAGTTAATTTCTGGAAGATATCCTCCAATTAATTTTAGGATTATCAGTAATGTATGAAAGTACCAGTTTCATCTCTTTCAGCAGAATTATATAGAACTGTTTGGAATTTTTTTAAAGTAATGTTGTGTATAAAAATCAAATTGCTTTGTTAAAACTGTATTTGTGAATATTTCTGAGACTCTTCTATCATGACGAAATTGGCAAACTACAGGCTGCAAATGTTACTGGAACACAGCCATATGCTTTGTTTACATATTATCTATGGCTGCTTTCAAGCTACAAAGGCAGAGCTATGTAGTTATAAAGAGACCTTAGGGCTGCAGAGCCAAAAATATTTGCTATCTGGCCTTTTACAGGAAGTTTGTTGACCCTCGATTTAAATTAGCTGTATATCCTTACTTTGTGAATTATGTCTTCAAAGTTCAATTTTTAACCATTAAACATTTTAAACTTATACCCTGGAACTTTGTTATTTCATCATCTACTATAGAATTCGGTGTGAGGCAGGTGTATCTTGGATTTTATTCAACAAGTTCAGCTACTATAACAACAAAAAAAGCCATTGTTTTAAGATTATTTTACCAAAGGTAGAGTTGCAAGATTTAGCAAAAAGGAAAAGAAAGACAGATAGACAGAAAGAAAGATAGAAAGAAAGAAAGAAAGAAAGAAAGAAAGAAAGAAAGAAAGAAAGAAAGAAAGAAGAAAGAAAAGAAAGGAAAAGAAAAGAAAAGGAAAGAAAAGAAACAGGACACCCAGTTAAATTTGAATATTGTATAAATATGTCCCAAATATTGCCCTCTAATGAGACATACTTATACTAAAAAATTATTTCTTCTCTGAAATTCAGTTTTAACTGGGTGATTTGTATTTTCCCTGGCAACCTTAACCAAAGGTAATCTAAAGCCTGCACCCAGAGGACCATGTAATATTGTGGTAAGCTTCTACCATTTTATGGTGGAAATGTGGTGGAAAATAGAAACAAACTCTTGAATGGTAAATTTAAACTATCATGATTCCCATATCCATACAAATCATATTTTCTGCTGATGAGCTTTAACTAGAACTATGCTCATGAACCAACATACGAATTACAAAGAAAGAAAATCATATGCAACAGATTTAATTGAGGAGAAAAAGCTAAAAATTGAGAACTCATGCAGAGTAAAGAAAGAGAAAGGAAGAAAATAAAGAAGCTAAGTCATGAAGGGATGTTATTATTATAATTATAATAGTTATGAAACTCTATAAGAACCAAATTAATCCTCATTTAAAAACCATATCCTAAATATTTCTAAACTTTGTAAACTCCAAAGATTATCACTTGATGCTGTATTAAATGCATCCATCCAAATTATCCATTTGTCACCCATTCACTGAGTGTATATGGGCCAGGAACTGTGCTGGTTCCTGGGGTGTAAAATATAGTTTTTGCCCTCAGAGAATGCTCAGTCTGATATAGAAGACAGTCATGTAAATAAAATCATGGCAGTGATGTTGGTGATGCATACTATAAATGGATAATTTGAAATCAAGTTAAAATATATCCTTTTGATCAGTTTTTCAAGCAATTATTATCATATATGTGTGTGCATACACATATATACACATATATGTATATGTATGTATGAGGTGTGATCTAAAAATATGGTGAATGTTTAAATTTTTAAAAATGTATTACAGTAAAAGACACATTGCCATTAATCCCCCTCAAAACACTCCCCCTCGCTTCAAACACACTTATCCTATCACTCTTGCCACTTTCTGAAGTAGTTCTGGAAGTCCTCTTTCATGAGTGTCTTTAGTTGTGCTGTTGTGGCTGCCTTGATGACCTGAATCTATTCAGAACATTTACATTTTGTAGTCATTTTGTCTTTGGGGAAGAGATAGAAGTCACACAGTGCCAGATCCAGGGAATAAGGTGGATGAGGACACACCGTAATGTTTTATTTGACAGAAATTGCCCTATCAGAAGTGATGTGTGACACGGAGCCTTTCTGTTGTGATAAAAATAATACGATGAATGCTGCTGCCAAGTGTCATCCAATGGAAAGGCAGGGATCTTCAATATGGGAAGTGGTGTGTTGAACCTTAGTAACAGTGTGTGACAAGTTTCAACTTGTTTGGTGTAGTCAGTCAGGTGTGAGCTACGATTGAGAGAAGGTGTGTTTTAAAGTGTGCCGTAAATCATCCATAAATCATGACAACGCTCCGTGTCACACATCACTTCTGGTATATGGCAATTTCTGTCAAATAAAAACATTACGGTGTGTCCTCATCCACCTTGTTCACTAGATCTGGCACCGTGCGACTTCTGGCTCTTCCCCAAAGTCAAAATGATTCAGAACATCGAGGCAGCCATGACAGAGCAACTAAAGACACTCACAGAAGAGGACTTCCAGAACTGCTTCAGAAAGTGGCAAGAAGGACGGGATAAGTGTGTTCAAAGCAAGGGGGCAGTATTTTGAGGAGGATTAATAGCAATGTGTCTTTTACTGTAATACATTTTTAAAATTTTAAACATTCAACATATTATTTGATCAAACATTCACCATATTGTTTCATCACACCTCATATGTGTGTGAGTATGTGCGTGCGTGCGTGTGTGTGTGTGTGTGTGTGTGTGTGTGTGTATGAAAATCCTGAAGACTGAATAGAGGTTAAGAGAGGAGGCTGATCTTGGCAAACTGTGAGAAACCTCAGTAGAGCCTCCATCCCAGTTTTAGGTCAGATTTCCTAGAAGCAGATGCTGAAACAGGGATTCAGGTGCACCTAATTTATTGAGGGCCTGCACAGAGGAGAAGAGGAGTGAAGGGAATAGGAGAGGACAGGAAAGGCCCCATGAACGGATGTGATCTCCACTGAAATGCAGCTTCAGCCTGACCTCACAGGGAGCTCTGGAACATGAATACACTACAGTATTGATTCCGCCTGGAGGCAAAGTGGTGGGTCTCTGTGCCCAAGTCCTTGGCTACAGGCTCACCACCCCATCCCCTAGACCCCAGTGAGTGCATTAACTCCCCAACAAGGTGGCTGAGTCCAGTTTCTTGGAGAACGGGACAGCTGTGAGCCTTTAGCAGCCAATGCCACAGCAGCTGGCAGACAGGGCAGGACATCTATCATAGTCCCTGACCCAGGGTGTTTAGAGGAGAAAGTCATTGCACGTTTTAGGACTATAGATTAGCACAGTTATTTCCACATCACCAATTTTGCTGTTCTGGGAAGATACTCAACTGCTTGGGACTTGGGTCTTTCAAAGTTTATTCTTCTCTGCAGCCAGGTTTTAGATTTGCATCTAAAGCTAGAATGAATTACCAAGAAGACCAGATGAAAGCTGTGCTCAACCCTGAATGCTCCTTCTGCACAAATACCTTTTGTTTGGCAAGCATAGTGAGAAAGTGTAATTTTTTTTTCAGTCACCCTGATTACATGATATGTACTTCCATAAAAGTGTGTTTAGAGTCAAAAGTATATCAGGTATTCCGGAATATAAAACTGCCATTTTTTTTATACTGCGGAATGTACTACACTTGGTAAACATAAAATGCTTAGAAGTTTCTAGAAGTGAGTCAAGGCATTACAACATTCTATAGTTGACAGGGAGTGTTATCATCTGGTCCATCTGCTTGGTGCCAAAAATGACCAACTCTGAACTGGCTCAGACCAATAACTGAATAATTAAACCCTGGTTGGCAGCCCACATCCCCAACCCCAGCCCACCTGGCTACCTGCATCTCTTCCCACCTGGTTTGTGTTTGGAGAAGGCAGAGTCATTTTAGTATCAATTAAAGATGCAATACTAGAAATGTATAATACTTCCTTGTTGAATTAATTTTTATGAAACACTTACTATAAATTAGACACTGCTAGGCTCAGGTGTAAACAAGACAGACACCTTCCCTCCCATGCTGGAGTTTGCTCTCTAAAGGGGAGATGCACATAGTTATAAAGGAAACGACAACGTGGTTGAGAGGTAGTGGGTGCTATCATAAGGCACTGAACTGAAAAGCTCAGTGTGGCTCAAGCAGTGGTTCTCAACAGCATCTGACCCAACCTTCTTTGTATTGCAAATATTTTGTAACATTCTTTACTATCCTGAAATGAAATTCACATGCACTGTTAGCCTGCCTGCACACATCTTTCAAATAATATCAATGTAGTGTGTACATACAAAGAGAAATAAAAGGAAAGTAGTTGATAAAGAAATAATATGTACGACGATAGGTTCATGCACAGGCATGAATGCACCAGAAGACACAATGAAGCAGGAGATGTTTATACCTGGATGAGACATGTACGAGACAGCTATGAAAGCATGTTATAAACATGTTTAACAAAGAGAAAGGCTTTCAACTGATCATTATAAACAGGGCTTTCTCCTTTGTGGATTTTCAGGGGAACATTCCAAACCTGCAGAAGACATGGGATGATTTTTCTTTTTTGGAGAATGTCTAGCATTTTTTATCCCCACCCACTAAATGCCAGTAACATACCTCACCCAGCTGTGGTGATAATCAGAACCACCCCTTGGAATTTCCTAATGTCCCCTAGGGAGCGGTACCTCCCCTATTGAGAACCACTGAGCTGAGAGGAATGGATGAATGAAGATGAAGCTGAGATTTTATCCTGAGGCAAGGGGAAGCCAAAGAAAACTTTTAAGGAGGGGGTTACCTGAACAAACGGCCTTTTAAAGAATCACTATGATATAAGGTAGAATATTGATGGGGAAGGGAGGACAAGAGTAGAAGATGAGACATCTATTGGGCTGTCACTGTACTGATCCAGGTGGCCCAAATTAGGGAAGTGACAGGGGAACGAAGAGCACTAAACGCCTCCTGGACACATTTAAGACGTCAGATTGACCAGGCTTGTGATGGACTTGATGTGTGGGGCACGTGGGGTAGGTGGGGAGTATTGATATTGTAGAGACAGGTATTAGAGGTGACCTTCTTCAGTTTTCTACCCTGAACAGTCTGGAAGATGGTGGCATTATTTCCTGACAATAGGCACAGAGGAGAAGTAGATCTCAGGTGTTTGGTTTGCAGTGCCTGTGAGACAACCAATAGGCTTGTCTGTGCGTATCTCCTCAGATCTCTGCAGATCTTGAGCCCGTGATTGAGATGTGGGCAGGAGATGTAAACTCCGATGTCAACAATCTATAGATGGTGACTGAAGACACAGCATTGTCAAGGTCACCTAGGAAGTGGGTGTGGACTCGTAAGAGGACAATGAGAGAACCCTGAGGGACCCAACATTTAAGGATGTATGGAGGGAGAGTTACTGCATTGGCATGAAAAGTGAGGGGGAGAGGAGGCAGTGGGAATAGCAAAGCAAATTCTTCAAGAAATTTGGCTGTCCAGGAGTCAAACAGGGCAGTGGCAGGAGAACTATATGGGATCAAGAAGGTGATTTTACAGATGGGAGAGATGGGACAAGCACATTTAAATGCCAGCTGAGAGGTAGAGATTGAAGAAAGAAAGCATAATCCCCAGAAAAGTGTCCTGAGGGCAGAGGGAATAGCAGCGGGACACCTCTTCCACTGGGATTCCTCTTTGTAATCCTTGAATCAAGGACAGGTGGTGGTAGTCCCCATGAGACGGGAGTTTGGGAGGCAGGAAAAGTAGGCTCCAGTCCCTCGGCTGAAGTCTACTTTCTCTATGAAGTAAGAGGAGTGAAATGGCACATGCTGAGTACAAGGAGTATGAGGTCAGAGGTTTAGGAGTGGAGACACTTTGAAATAGTCACCTGGGGCTGATATTCCACCTGCTGGCATTTTAAAGGGCAAATAGAGAAGGACTGGAGAGGGTCAAAGTAAAGGACCATGGAAACTAGGTTTTTTTGTTTGTTTTTGTTTTTTTAAAGATTTTATTGGTGAATTGGGGGAGTGGAACAGCGTTGGGGAATTGGGGAAGGGGAACAGACAAGTTGCTGTCCTTTTGTTCTTCAGTCTAGTTGTGGAGGACGTCGCTTCACTGGTCCATGTTGGTATTATCATTGCGCTCTTCCTGGGTGAGACAGTTGCTCGCCAGCCATTGGACGGCCAATCATGGCTGCTCACTGCAGCTGCCAGCCACTCACGGTAGCTCACAGCAGCCCAGCTCCAGGTCGAGCTGTTGTTCACCATCTTAGCTGTAGAGGGCGCAGCATCACTGGCCCTCATGTGGGATCCAAACCGGGGCCCTGCTGCTCAGAGCTGGCGTCCCAAGCCAACTCTTAACCAATGCTCCACTCGGCCTGCCCATAGTTTTGATATGGACAAAGCGAAAAGACCAGGGGAGGTTTACCGGTGCTGCCAGGTTTGCTCTCCTAACATGACCTGCTGAATTAAAACTTATTTTCAACGTTGTTTTTTCCACCAGTTGTTCAAAATGACCAACTTGGTGTGATCAATCTGTTGTGCCAACACATTCTCTACTATATCATTCAAGCCATGAATAAATTTTTTGAATAGTATTAGGGGTTGTAACTTCAATAAAATCTTCTCAGGAAATGCAACTGTATGCCTTTTCTTCTCATAGATGTTAAACTATAGATAATTCCACTTTGAGAAAAAACATAATGATGCATTTGTCCCCATAATAGCTGTATGATCTAAGCCAGCAACTCCCATAATGCATCTGTGAAATATTGATTTTATGGGATGTTAGGATTATCTGAACATAAGACTGGGTTAAAAAAGTCTGGAAACACTGAGTTTAAAAATTATCTTTCTTGCAGGACTTCTCAGAGTTTTTGAGATGTTAATCTAGTCACTGAATCTCCAAGAGGCAGATAGTTTAATGCAGAACACCACTGTTCATATGTAATTGAAAAAGACAAAACTTTTAAAGGAGAATTTTGTCAAATTAGAGTTCCACAGTAACACTATCGAATGCCCTAAGCCATAATTTCTTAATTTATTACAAGTAGCCTAATTAAAAGTCTTTCAAACCTAAGACAAATTTATTAGTAGGTTAAAATATAATAATAACAGTAAAAAGACAAAGGTGTATTTATTTTCTTTGTTATAGGTCAATAAATGGAAATAGTTCATGACTTTGTAAATATGCTGAAAATATTAAAATCTTTTGTTATAAGCAATTTTAAGAATTGAATTGAATCTCTTTTTCAATCATTATTCTCATAGGTCTGACATTTTATAACTAGAATCTTGAACAGGGGACAGTTGTGAACATAAGTCTTCTTTTCTTATTTTAAAAGCTTGGTCTTATTCCCCAAATCAATTCATTGGAGAATTTCTCCAGCAAGCAGAATTTAAATGAGTATCAGCTGCACAACTGTGTTGAAATTGTCTCAGAAATGGGGCCTCGGGTGCTCCCTCGTGCATGTGAAAGGCTTATCATCAGCACGTCTGCCAGGCTGCACAATGGGTCAGTGGGTGAGTATCTGTTTAGTGGGCTCTGCTGGAGCACTGCTATCTGTACAAATGCTTTTCTGGAACGTGATCGAATCGATTTAATTTGTTTTAGCATCTACTCCAATCAACCAAGTAAGTAAGTACCATTTGCCCAGTGATTGGATACACAGAACAGTCTGTTGATGTGTGGGAGTTACAACGGGCAGTACAGGAAATATATGAAAGAGGACTCTTGCAGTAGCATTACGATGCTAGATTGCTGGAGCAATGGTCCTAAAATAGTTATTAGAATCCTGGAATTTTAGACTGAAATGATCTCTAAACAGCTTCTTTCATCCCCAAATCTTCATTTAATCAATGAAACTGTTAGGGTCCAAAAACATGAGGTAACTTGCCCGTTTCACTAAGTTGTACAGCAGGGTTTCTCACCCTTCACACGTTTGAGATTCGGGGCTGGATAATACTTTGTTGTAGGGACGGGGTGGGTCTCTACTGTACATTATAGGAGTTTAGCAACCTCCCTACCCTGTACACACCTGATACCAGTAGTACTTTGCCCCCCCCCCTTGTGACATCCAAAAATGTCTGCAAACTTTGTCATGTGTAACCCTGGGGGACAAAATCTCCCTCCCCTCCCTCACCCCCCCACCCAATTGAGAACCACTGCTACAGAGTTACAGCTACCATGAGAGCGTGGGCTTCCTGAGTTCCAAGCAAGTGCTTTGTCTGTTATACTGCAGGACTATGGCTTCAGGGTATCCACAACCTTATGAAAGATATGGAATGAGGAAAATAAAAAATACAGTCCACTACCACATAGATCACCAAGAACTGAAGTAATAATAACATCTATAATAATAATTATTTTGGAGCAATCAATTATTAAAACAATTTAAGCCTTTCATTAACTTAAGTAATGTTTATTGTTGTTATATTTATTAAGTTATGTTTATTGAGCACTTACTACGTGCCAAGCACTGTTCTAAGTACTATTGTCCTACGTAGTGTTGTTCTTAATCCTTATAATCCCATGAGGTAGATCCTATATTATCCCCATTTGACAGGGTAAAGGAGTTAAGGACTACAGAGGCACCAAGTAAAAGAGAGGTGAACTCAAGCTACTAACAGGATGAGGTGCTTCTCATTCACTTCCTTCACCTCTAACTTCCTTCTTTAATTCCCTGCAGCCTGCAGGTGTCACCCCCAGGGCTCGGTGGGGACCAGCTGCAGCCGGCTTGGAGGCCAGTGCCAGTGTAAGCCTCACGTGACCGGACGCAGCTGTGACAGGTGCTCAACAGGAAGCTACGGTTTGGGGCATCATGGTTGTCACTGTACGTAGCAAAAAACAGATGGGGGAAATATGCTTCCACAACCTTGGAGTTTCGAAGGGAGGGAAATTGATGTGGGGAATATAAAAGTCGAGAGGATTGGGCATTTGACTATATTATCCAGCTGTCTATGTAGATAAAATATACTAAAATTTTTTCTACCATACTTCATTCATCCATGCACTGGGCACTGACTGTGTACAGAGCTCTATTAGGAAGCGTGAATGATGATAAAAACATGGCCCACGCTTCTGGGATCTGCAGTCTGAAGCAAATAGATGGTAGTCTGGGTAGGATGTGGCAACACCATAAAGGGAGTTGGTAATGCAAACCCAGCTTTATGATCTGGCTGTAAGCCCAGTGGCTTGAAAAGCTAAAACAATGACGAGATTGGGAAATTGAGAAAGGGGACAACACTGTCGCCAGGATGTTACTCTTTCTGATTCTGGGGTCACAAACAGCCCTGGAACTCATTTTATAAGCCATTCATTAAGAAAGGCTTAGCGGGAGGGGAGTGGTTTCTGTGCGAAGGGTGAAAAGGATAACTATTGCATTGTTCTGCACACCTGAAACTAACAAAAATTAATTAATTAATTAATTAATTTTTAAAAAGAAGGGCTTAGATGGGGCTTCATCCATAGTTGGTAATTCAGTTCTCTTGGCTGTCATGTTCAGAGTGTAGAGTTCTCTGTTTCAATGTAAACCATTAGTGAAAACACTGTTCTCCACAGAAACCTGCCTTAGAAACCAGGAAAACCAACAGGTACATTAATTCTCAGTTAGGGGAACCTCTTTTCAGTCATGGTTCAGAGATGGCACAGCTTCCTGGTCATTGCCTCCCTAGCAAACAGTCCATCCAACAGTGTAGGACCATCACCACTTTTTTTCCCTTTTGCTTTAAAAAAAAAAATTATGAAGTGCTTGAGATACACAAAGGGATAGATACAAAAGACCAAACATTTCTTCTATGCAGCACCCTCTCAAATAAACAGGCATCATGTTTTTGTATCGGGAAGATTGTCTCAAAGGATTGAACAATTTACCAGAAAGTTCTGAGCCTTTATTATCTTATGTAGAAAAAAGAAAAATCTGACCACCTTGACAGGGATTCTTATATTTTTTTATAGTCTTAAAGTTTGACTCCCAAGATATATGAAAGTTAAAGTCATTAAAAACATGTTACTTGTTCAGTTCCTCTGTATAAACAACATATATCAGACCCAGTTGTTCACAAGTTACGTTTATTGACTGAATTAATGAATTGTTATTTAGCAAACATTCACCTGGTACTTGCTATATGCCAGACTCTGTTGTAGACTGTTCCGAGGCTCACTCTTCTCATCTTGATAGGGGTGATATGATAAGATAAGGACTGCACAATTAGAGCTGTACCTCTTTTGCCAGCACTCCACTTGCCCCCCACCCCAACATACTTCTCTTTGTTTTATCTAGCATGTCACTGCCACCCTCAAGGCTCAAAGAGCACTGTATGTGACCAAATAACAGGACAGTGCCTCTGCCAGGAAGAGGTGGCTGGCCACCGTTGTGACCGGTGCCTGCAGGGCTATTTTGGATTTCCCAGCTGCCGCCCTTGCCTTTGTAATGGGCTCGCTGAGCTCTGTGATCCAGAGACAGGGTCATGCTTCAATTGTGGGGGGTTTACAACTGGAAGAAACTGTGAAAGGTATGGAGTTCATATGCCCTTTTATTTTTAATCTTTTTCTTTTGTTTTGATCTCACAACAATCTCCAAAGGACCACTGAGTAGAGACTCAACAATATTTAAGCGTGGAATGGCTGCTATCCGTGGGGAAGAGAGCCCATTCCATCGCCCTTCAAAATCTCATTATAAGCCAGACAATGTCTGATTAAATCAATCATAGACATTTACTTGGCACCTTGCTTTTTATGCTCCTGAAATAAGACATGTAAATGAAGTGCTATTATATTGCATTTAATGACTATATCATGGGACTTTCAATAGCAAAAAATCCTTGTACAAAGCAAATAAGCATTTTCTAAAATATTGCGTTTTCAGACACGCACCATCCTAATGCATAGCAAATTCACACCGGCTAATATGTGAGCTTTTCCTGATAACATTTAGTAAAAAGAAATTGCCTTGACAGATGCATCAATGGTTACTATGGAAATCCTTCTTCGGGACAGTCCTGCAGTCCTTGCCCATGCCCAGAGGTTCCCGGGAGCAATCAGTATTTTGCCCATTCCTGTCATCAGAACCCTTGGAGCTCAGATGTAATCTGTAATTGTCTTCAAGGTTACACAGGTATGTAGTATAGCTCATGATGTTTGTTTTCCTTCTAGTCCACACTGCGATCTGAAAAATAATCACATGGTAATGATTTATCTGCCTCGGCCAAATGAGTGGTGCAGAATAAAAATTAATGATAAAAAGACATAATTTGGTAAATTGCTGCTTTACTGAACCAATAATTTGAATGATTCAAAAACCAATGACAATTTAAAACCCATTCCACTGAGTTACAATTTTTAAATAATGTTCTGGAAAATTAACTGACCAAATGATTTCAAACCAAATTAATTTCTTTAAAATAAAATCATCACATGTTAAGATATATGTGTGATTAAGTAAATGTATATGTGATATATATTACATATACATAAGCAATTAAAAAGTTAAAAAAAATGTAAACTAGTCAAATGCTTTCATTTTATAATTCCAAGCAATCAATTTAACTGGTATGTCACAGATAAAACTAATTTTTTCAGATGCCTGGAAGCACTGATTTGAGCATTGAATAGAGACTGCATAAATCAATTTAGTATCTGTGTCTATTGCTCAATGAAAATTTTTATTTTGCAGAGTTTAAGCATGAGTGTAAATATATAATGCAAACAAGGAAAAAAAACATATGAAATTAGCTTGATTTAATCACACTTAGAAAATATGGTACTTTTTTGTTACCTCTAAGGTTATACATGTCTCTAGTTAATTCTTATCCCTTCCCCTATAGTCCTTTCTCCACGTACACTTCGGCTTGGTGGTTGGTTAGTTTTTAGAACAAAGGCCACGATTGGGCTATGAGAGTATTTCTAAATGGGAGAAACCAAAATGTGGGGACTGAGCCACAAGTCGAGCACCTACACAAGTATAGTTGCCTCGTGGTTGGAAGGGTAAAGAGTATAGGAGAGGTGGGATGGCTTCTCCATACAATGCTTAATAAAAACACCTTCTTGAAGTCCTACATCAAGAAAACTACTCTCACCCATCCTCACTTCTAGACCCACATCTCAGGCTGCTGTTTCACCTCCAGGACTGAGTGAAGGTTGCCTGGAGAGACCAGAGGCTGAGATAAGCTTTGGGTCTTGGGGCACACAAGGGTGACCCTGGTTCTATAAGGATCCAGGGGTCCTGTGCCCACAACTCCAGGTTTTTAAGAAAGATTACAACTTCACAAAAGACTTTTTAGCTCTAAATAATCATCTGATCCTCTGAATGAATCATAAATGTAAATGAATGTTTTACTTTAATTTAGAACACATGTCCTTATTCATCCTCAATGTATGACCTCTCATTATCCCTAGAGGAGCCCAGTTAGTCTCTGTTTACACCAATCTCCATCCCCCCTCACACACACCCACACACACCCCTCTCATCTCATCTCCTTTCCCTCCCCATCTTTCAGGTAATCAGTGTGAAGCATGCTCTGCTGGTTTCTATGGAAATCCAAGAATTTCTGGAGCACCTTGCCGGCCATGTGCCTGCAACCACAACATCGATGTAACTGACCCAGAGTCCTGCAGCCGAGTGACAGGGGAGTGCCTTAAATGTCTACACAACACTCAGGGGTCCAACTGCCAGCTCTGCAAACCAGGTCACTTTGGATCGGCCCTCAATCAGACCTGCAGAAGTAAGCCTACGAGGTCCCCAGGGGAAAACATGGCAGTGGAGTGGCAGCTCATAGATGTGCTGGCAGCTCTCCTATGCTCATTTCAGTTAGGCCAGCAGTGTCAATGCCCACTGGGTGATGGGTGTTGCACTGAACTCATCAGCAGAAATGGGTGCAGTGCCACCTCAAGTATTTCGGCTGCAGCTACAATGTACTCATGGGTGTTAGTAGTTTGCCTTTTGTGATTGTTACCTTCAAAACCTGCCCTAGTGGATTCTGAGCATTGTTTCTCAGAGTATTGTCCAAGGTGCACTGTGCCAGAATCACCTGGGCACAGGGGTGGGATATTAACATGTAGATTCATGGGCTGGACCTTAGACCCATAAAATTGAATCTCTGGGAGGCCCAGGAATCTGCATTGTGACAAGCTAATCAAATGACTTAATTGTATAAATATGAGAATAATTGATGTAGAAGAGGACAAGAGTTTAATTCTATGATAAAGAAAGAGGAGAAATAAACTGCTCATTTTTAGGAATTCACCCAAGTCAATTTAGTAAACCATTTGTTTTCAGATCCTTTACATAAACGTTGCTTTGGTGAATGGCACGAGGGAAAGAGTGAGACTTCCGGTCTTCCTAATTGTAAGCTCTTGAAACATAGTAGGCAGAACCATAAGAAATTGCTGTTTTGGGAGATCAACAACAGTTGAATGGGTTCAACCCATTTTGATTCTTTGATAAATCCTGTATTATTATAGGGTGTCTCATCCTTAAACCCTTTGGGGAAATGATAAATACAGGTCAAAAAAGCTATTTGTAGGGGTTGTTGAATGCCAGCATTATCACTGAATTCACCTTCTATTATCTCAGGTTGCTCCTGTCATCCTTCTGGCGTGAATACTGCTGCGTGTCCCCCTGACCAGGGAGCTTGCCTCTGTGACCCTGACACTGGCACATGCCCTTGTCTGCCCAATGTCACAGGAAGGACCTGTGACCATTGTGCTGATGGATACTGGAACCTGGTCCCCGGCAGAGGATGTCAGCCATGTGACTGTGACCCCCGGACATCACACAGTAGCCACTGTGACCAGGCAAGATACGTTAAAGTTACTAAAGTCATCTTATGTATTTCCTGTCCCTGTCCTCTAATCAGCCATTTCTTCAAGGAGTGCTGCTTCTTTTGTGTGGGAATGGTATTAGAAACTAAGATCTGGGCACCAGAAGACCACGCCTGTTTTACATGCTCCCCTCTACTCCTCACCCTGCAACCACCAACCATGGAAGAAATCGGTAGATCTCCACATGACTGCTTGCCTTCCTAATTCATGAGGAGCTCCTAATGTTCATGATATCACTCTCTGGCACGCTTAGGCCTTTTGGAAAAGATATTTGTACCAGCACTCAACAAAGACCACAGCTGAGTCATGGAGACTAAAGGAAGCCTGTGAAGCTGAAAATCATATGGCATTGGTTTAACCAAAGAGCTCCTTATGACAAGAATATCTGGGGTTGTCTGGTCCATAGGGGATTCCTGAGGGAAGGCTGCTCTTTACAATTAGGAAACACTTTCACGGGAGTACAGAAGACATGTGAACATTGAGATTCTCAGCTGTTTAAACAACTATGATAAATGTCTCTATCTCAGCCAGTAGGTGGTCCCCAGTGCATTCTTACAGACAGATCCAAACGTGCCGTCCAATGTTTTCATCAACAGTTTAGGTGGAGTTGGAGAAACATGCTTATCAGATTTGCTGATATTGCAAAGTTGTAAGCTAATGTGGTAGAGACAGAACAAGAGACAAGATATCCTAATAAGCTGTCTTGCTGTCTGGAAACAAGATGAAATGTTAACAGGATACAGGTAAAGTTTTGCAATTGGGTCTTAAAAATTTGCATAAATACAGGGTGAGAGTAATATCTTGGCACCAGCTCATGTGAAAAACCTCTGAGGATTTTCACTGCGTGCTTCCAGTGAACCAGCACTGTGGCTGGGCTGTCAAAAAGGCAATGCCCATTCAGGCTAGAGTAGGGGGAGGGCCATATCCAGGTTAGGGCAGTTTTTGTCCCATTGTCTTCTGTACTAGCAAGATGGCTCCATGACCAGTGTTGTCATTTCTAAGTACCACATTTCAAACATTATATTGGCAAACTAATATGTATCCAAAGGAAGACAATCAAGATGGTGGAGAGAACCATGCTCTTCTGTGATGAAGTCTTGAAGGAATGAGGGGCGGTCAGCCTTAAGAAGAGAAGCAAATGCAAGTTGAAAATGACAATTTCTAGGTGGGGGGAAAGACTGTGAGAAGAAAGAGGGAGGCTTCCTGTTTTGTGCAACTCATAATACAGGCCTCAGAACAATGGGAACAAGTTACAAAGAGAAGATTCTGTGTCAGTGTAATGAAGCATTGACCAACAATCAAGGACAACCAGCAATATGACAGCCCTCGGGGAAAACGAGCTCCCTGTAACTCTCTGTAACTGAACAGAAGCTACTGGTTAGTCCAAGATGGGTAGAGGCTCAGTAGATCCAGTCACTTTACGAATCCAGCTGTTTATTCACTGGAAGCCTACTGGTAGAGTTGTTGTGTAAGCACATTTGATCAAGTATAACCCAGGACCACTACAATGGTGATTTGCTTCTACATTTTTCTCCTGTTAATTTTCTAACCACCTTGGTTTTTAGAAAAGCTGATCAAGAATCCAGCTGGGAGGGTACAGAAAAGTTCAACACTCTTCCCAAAACATAGTTAATAGCTTTCATTAAATGAGTAAGCCTCAAGGGGAAAAAAAAAAAGTTTTGTTGAACAAAACACTGACCCAATTGGGAGAAACTCCACTGGACATTCCATCATGGAAACATTATTTGCCAAATTAATTGATGAATGTTAGTCCAGGTCTCTGGCCTCTGTGTGTTATGGGAGAACTCTCATAACTGTAGAGGAAAAGAATGTGGCCCGTTTCCCATTATGTGTTTTGTTTTCATTTATATCTGTGTATGTTTCCCAGTTTGGGGCCACCTGTCCTTGAACAGCTGTAAGCAGGCGGTATAGTCAAGAGCCCTAAGCCAAAAAAAAAAACACTTAACTCCTGATCCTTGGTATTGTTGGGGGTGGTTGCTGGCCGTGGGAATCATCCTTCCTCTGACTTTGCACAGCTGTATGTTCTAAATCACTGGAGGGAAAACTGTTCCGTATTAAAATGTATTAATTTGTTAGATCAGAAAGCTTGTCACTTCCTCACCCATGACTGTTCTCACAGCTTACAGGCCAGTGTTCCTGTAAATTAGGCTATGATGGGAAACGCTGCACTGAGTGCAAAGAAAGTTATTATGGTGATCCACTGGGACGATGCATTGGTAAGTATTAGTGATTCTAAAACCCTGCATACAGTCAACCCAGTCCTACCACAGGCATGCTATGAACCAACTGAATTTCCGACTCCTTTATTTGGTAGACAATTCAAAAAATTAATCCCAATTTTGAAAATAATATTTTTAGCCCTATAAAAAGGTTTTTTTTCTCCTGTATTAAAACTTTAGTTATCTAGGTATCTTAAATGTTAGCCTATATTCAACTTTGTAGCCTATATTAACATTCCTCAAAGTCATTAACATGGAGCAGGCCTCTGAGGTCACGACTCGTAGCCAGTTCCCTGCTATTTGGAAGCATATTAACAACAGTTCCTCTGGATTGAGGTACAGGCTGGGAGATGGATCATGGGAGGCCAGCAGGGGGGATGTTTCCTCAACATGGCTCTCTCATAATACTGGGCCTATCACTTATTCACTTATTTATTTTAAATATTCATAAAGTGCCTACTGAATGCTCTAGGTAGAGAACAGATAAGGCAAGGCCCGTAACCTCATGGAGTTCATGTTCTAGTGCCTCTCATGCCATGTCTTAGCTCTCGTTGTAGGATTTAGAGACCTGCGGTCCAGTAGAACTTTCTGCGGAGATGGAAGTGTTCTACACCTGAGCTGACAGTGCAGAAGCCCCTAGCCACATGTAGCTGCTGAGCACTTGCAGTATGTCTTGTGCAAATGGGGGAAAGAATGGTTTACTTTATAATTCATTTAAATTGAAATAGCTCCATGGGGTTAATGGCTACCATATTGGGCAGCACAGACTTAAAATCTAGGTTGGTTCTAGGAGAAGGGATTTTTGAATCTTTTTAACGTCAACTTCCAAAAGAAGTTGATCTAAAGAAATATCAGATGTGATGTGATTATCATCGTGGTCAACCCTACATAGCCACCATACATGCCAACTTTTTCCTCCTTTCCATTCCTTTATAAATGTGCTTTTGTGGCAAAAAAACCAAAAAAGCCTTCATTTTCTTGCCCCATTCAAATGTATAGTCTCAATGGTTTTTCCCAGTCCCACACTTAATCAGTTTTCTGAGTAGAATTTCTACTTTAAAAAGCAGGGAGAAATTTTGGCTCTTGGAAAATCTGTCTTAGCCTCTTTTCCTATGCTCCTTTTATGTTTCAGTAATCTTATTTTATAAAAATGCTTTTGTCTTTTATAGAGAAAATTTTGCAAAAGGTCAAATCAGGCCACTGACCCCACTAAAGCTCCTGGGGAAGCTTCAGCCCCTGGCTGGTGATGTGACATAGTGCTACCCCCAGGGGTTCCTGCTGAAGCCTCTGGACCAAGGCCAGACAGACGATATCTAGTTGAGGAGCCTAGTGTGTTCATCAGGTTTTACACGCATTGGCATTATTTTTACTCAAGCTGTCAAATGCATTTTTAAATCACTTGTTCCTTGCAGTTAGTCCAACGACATAGGCTAGTGATTCCCTGACCTTTCGGAAACTGAAGTAACGTCAGTAGCTCACCCACCTTCCACCCTCAGACTTAATCAAAAACCTATGTAATTAAAATGCATGTAGCATAGTTGTTTTTTTTAATTGAGACAAAATGAATTTAATTTTCTCCCTTTTTAAAATGACTTTTTTTTAGAGCAGTTTTAGGTTCGTAGCAAAATTGAGAGGAAGATAACAGAGATTTCCCATATACCCCCAACCCACACACACACATAACCACCCTCATTATCAACATCCCCAAGAGAGTGGAACGTTTGATACAATTGATGAACCTACATTGATATATTATAATCACCAATGTCCATAATTTACATTATGGTTCACTCTGGTATTATCTATTCTGTGGGTTTGGACAAATGTATAATGACAGGTATCTATCATTATAGTATCATACACAATATTTCCACTGCCCTGAAAGTCCTCCAGGCTCTACCTATTCTACCCCACCACCACCACCCCCACCCTGCAACCACTGATCTTTTTTATTGTCTCCATAGTTTTGTCTTTTCCACAATGCCCTATAGTTGGAATCATATAGTATGTAGGCTTTTCAAATTGGCTTATTTCACTTAGTAATGAGTATTTAAGGTTCTTCCATGTCTTTTCAGGGCTTGAAGCTCATTTCTTTTTAACACCGAATATTTTTATTGTCTAGTTGTATCACAGTTTATTCATCCATTCACCTACTGAAGGATGTCTTGATTACTTTCAGGTTTTGGCAACTATCCGTAAAGGTGCTCTAAACATTCATGTGCAGGTTTTTATACAGACATAAGTTTTCAACTCTTTTTGAGAATGGAATAGTTCTCCTTATATAACAAGGAGACAGCCTGGGTCAGGACACTCAGACTGGGTTTTACTGAGGAGTAGTGAGGTCATGGGAATTCTTAGAAAGTCTGTGACATGCCTGAGTCACCCATGGAGGCAGTAGCAGTGGTCACTAGTGGGCCATTCACCATTCAATTCATGGTCCTCACTGAAATATGTAAAGAACCTACACGTGAACATTTGTAGTCACAGTAAAAAGATGCCTAAGATTTTCCATATAGAAACCATGAACTGATCTGTTAGTGGAATAAAAAGAAGAATGCTGCATTTTAATGACCATTGCACAGATCTCTGAAATTATACTGCTTTAACCCGTCACCTTACAAATGGGTGTTGGGGAGATTCTCAGGGAAGAGGAAAGGTCTTTATTCTTGAGCGAGTCATAAGCAAAAGACCAGGTGACTGACATTCTCTGCTCCTTCTCTTCCTTTTTAGCATGTGACTGCAACAGGGAAGGTACGCAGGAGTCCATCTGCGACCGGGACACGGGCACGTGCAGCTGCCGGCAGGGTGTTGGCGGCCAGCGGTGTGACCGCTGTGTGAGAGGTCATGGCCAGGAATTCCCTGCTTGTCTGCGGTGTCACTTGTGCTTTGATCAATGGGACCACACCATTTCTTCCCTCTCCAGAGCAGTGCAAGGGTTAATTAGGCTGGCTGCTGACATGGAAGATAAAAGGGGGACCCTAACTGTCTGTGAGGCTGACTTCAAAGGCCTCAGAGAGAACATGTCTGAAATAGAAAGGATTTTGAAACATCCTGTTTTCTCATCTGGTGAATTCTTAAAAGTCAAGGATTATCACGACTCTGTTCGGTAAGATTTGTGCTCAAGCAATAGATAAGACAGTCAAATTCCTGATTTATCTTCACTTCCGCTGAGCTTCAACAGCCTTCAATTTAGAAATATAGGTTGATATTAGGGAAATGATCATTGTTTAGCTAATAACCAGGCTGGCAATTGTTTGCCTGTCTGTTTCTTATCTTGTTAGAATTACATGTGATTTTCCCGGATGCCATTGATTATAACAAAACACTAGTCATTAAGAGGTATATTGGGAAGCCCAAACCCAGCAGAGCTGAAAGACACAAAATTGGAAGGAAGATAGTGTCTAATACAAATATTTTTAAACCATGCACTCAGGGAAATTTGCTATTTTCCAAAATTCTTCAGTGTTTAGAAGTCCATAGCTTAATGTGAAGTCTTAAAATGAGCATAATTGTTTTGAAATGCAGCATCATTTTTATTATACCTTGTTGAATTCTTTCTTCACTTATCAAACATTGCTAGAGAGTATGTTGGTTGTTCAGGACCAGGAATCAGCCAACCAAAGCCCACGTGAAGTCCAGCACAGCACCTGTTTTTGTAAAAAGTTTCATTGGATCACAGTCACACCCCTTTATGTACGTATCTTCTGTGGCTGTGGCTGCTTTCCCTCTACCCCAGAAGCATTCAGGTGACAGAGCCACTGTGGCTCCTGGGGCCTAAAACATTTACTACCTGGCCCTTTACAGAAAAAGCTTGCCAAACTGCTCTGGACAAAACTAAGATGAGTTGAGTATAGTTTCCACCCATCTAGGAGCACAGAATATACTAAGAAGCCAAAAACATTGTGGTTCTGTAGCAAATATCTGCCCCTCCCCCATAAAGTTCCAGGATTAAGGAATAGTTGAAGCTGCAGAGCTTTATGTTGTACAAAACACACGTATAAATATAAGGACATTTATTATCAATAGGCAAAAATCCCAGAGGTATACGGTAATCACTTAAAAGTTACACAAAGAAGATATAATCCACCTGGATAGTTCAGAGGACGGACCACCTGCACCATAAACACTGCTACAGGGCTCAGGGCGGTGGCATGACCACGTCAGGCTGGCAGGTGACGACAGGCACATCTATACCCTGTTAAAGACCATTGCCCTGCAGGATTTGGGCTCTGTAGTCCCAGATCTCCCCAATTTTCAAGAGACATCCAGGCTTTTATGGAAATATCACCTCTTTAAAACATAATCAGCTAATCCAACAGTGCTTTTCAAAAGCACTGTATATGCCAAAGAAACATGTCTGAGAATGAGTTTTGGCCCATGAACAACTGACTTGCGGTTATTGAAAATGGCAGACAGTTCTACTGAACTGAGAAAGCAGACTGAGCCAATCCACAGCGAACATTCTTGACAAAGAGGCTGCAAAAGCCCTGAACAGAGCCAGAGAAAAGAGAGCAGGGGAGGCAGGACCAGGCCCAGAGGGATGAGGAGACCAGTGGCTACTGGGCCTCTTGAGCCAGAAGCCAAAATGTCTCTCCCTCACGGTCCACCCGCTGAGCTCCGAGTCTGCTTCTCTGGCCACCCAGTCACCACCTCTCCCCCTGAAGCCTTCCCTGACCTCGCACAAAGCCCCGTGTTTCCTGCTCCGTCTTCCCACTTCTTTGTGGCTCATCTGCCATTGTCTCACGGAGGGCTTCCCAAGGCCAGAGGCTGCCTTCTCCGTGCCTGTCTTCGCCAGGCCTGCTGACATAATAAATGTTTGCTGGGTAAATGACCAACCTAAGGGGAGAACCCAGGACATCCCGAGCATCGATTCAGAAGACAAACCAACTTGGTTCGAATCCGGTTACTGCTGCATGGCCTTGGGCAAGTTATTTAACTTCTCCAAGCTTCAGTTTCTTCATTTAAGAGAGGAATAATATCTATTTCATAGGATTCTTGGGAGAATTCCTCAAGTCAAGCCACTTAGCATGGTGTCTGGCATATAGTAAGTGCTTAGAGAGTACCAAGTATAATGATAGTACTTATTATTATTGTTTTATTATTATCAGCCTAAACAATTATAGTCCTGACTGCTGCAGTCTAAAGGAAAACTGTACAGATTACAAGGGAGAGTTAGAGTTAGAAAATGCCAGGAAGCATTCATTAAGGCTTTGCACTTATGCCAAGATAAATAGTCCCATAAGCTTGGATTGTGATTTCCCCCAACTGTGCTCTTCAAGATTTGCACCCATTTTCCCCCTCTTGAGGGACATGCTAGTTATTCATTTGAACCAACTCTGTGTTGAACCCGGCACACGGAAGCAGGACCACAGTGCCACCATCAAAGCGGGAAGGGATGGCGGACGAACACACCAGGGCGTGCTCACCAGCAAGGAAACCTCCTTGGCACTTGTGGAAATTCAAAGTTAAGACCCTGTACAGAACTAACCCTAAAAGGAAACTTACTGGAAGCAGATTTATTCTAAATGAGGAACTGACCTTGACCCTAGGCTGGGTGAGGGGTTTTGTGTTGAAAGCCAAACGTAGATTGACTCTCTACGTTTGACTGATTGGGCTGTGTCCAAATACATGTTTTTGAAAACCCAAAGCGAAGGGAGACAGAAAGAGTACAAATAGTTGAAATTGAAAGATTCAAAAACCTTTATTCTACTAGACCTTGTATGCTGATCGTATTTTAAGTGAGTGTTGAAATAGTCCAGGATGCTGAATTAACAAGAAAGAGATAAGCCATAAGCAGAATTATAAATTGTCAAATGAAAACTGGGAAGGAGGGAGAGAATCCATTGTAACTATGAGGTAATTGCCCTAATAATGAGGACAATTTTTTACATCTTTTTTTTTCCCACCAATCCGTCAAATGTAAGACAAGCTTCACTATATTTACTCTCATTTTTCCCTGTAGGAAACAAATCATGCAGCTAAGCAAGCAACTGAAAACAGTGTATGAATTTCAAGATCAGAAAGAAACAATAGTAAAAATGAGGAAGGAAGCAGACCTCTTACTTGAAAGTCTTCAGGAAGAAATTGATTTGCACTCCACGGCCGCTAATGCAAGCATCATGGGTAAGTGAGAAAACACACTTCAGCTGTCTGTGTCTGGACAAAGGTTGATGAAATCCATGGGCATTCCATTAGTGAGTCATCCCATGCTTGCTGCCGTGGTACTTGAGCACTTCAGAACATGAAAACACACCCAGTGAAGTTATTATTTGTACATGAATATTTCAACTTTTTAAACACTGCAGAACCTAAATAGCATTTGCTCAAAATAATAAATAAAGCTAACAATATCTTATACTAAACAAATACTAAAAACCAAAGTAATCTTCTAGTGCCAAATCATGCATGGGGTCTTGTGAAAGCAGCAACTGAGAAATTCTCACATGGCCAAAAGGAGATGAGAGAGATATGTTTTTATGCCTTCCTGAGTACAAGCCATTCAGTTTCCAGCAACTATAAGTGCAAAGAAATATGAGGCAAAAAAGGATTTTCTTATAAGAACTTTGTAGGGGTTTGGAGGCATGTAACATGCTAGAAGCCCATAATTCATATTGCATAGTGCTTACTAATGAATGGGAGCTGTGCCGAAGCCAGATTAACTTGGAGGAGAAATGGAACTCGGAGGCAAAACTTCGATGAGCCCATCTCCTGATCTCTGATGAGATCCCTGTTACAAATGGACAACTTGTTATTACCAGGAAAGGCAGCCCTGAACTTGTATTCACACTTAACCCATCTAATTGAGAGGTAAAGCCAAAGTAAAGTGAAACCCATCTCAAGGCAAAAGCATTGTTTGTTCTTCCTTGTTCTACGTACATGTTCTTGTTTTTCATCTGATTTTGACCTAAAAGAGAAAAAAATAGATGACAATTATAACCACAAAGGAAGACCTAAATTTAGTGAAATAACTATTGAGGATGCTCAATAAATGCTAAGGAATTTGCTGTGATTCTTAATCTGGATGAAGGTACCCACTGAAAGAACTGAAAATCCATCAGGGGTCACCCAAGCCAGTTGGAGGGAGGGAAAACTGCCCTAATGCTAATCTTCACCAAATTTGCAGTCCAATAGCAGTACTGAGCCTTTTCTCCATGTCTCACACTGTGCTGGGCGGTAGAGATGGGGAGATGGACACAGCAAGCCCTTGCCCTGAAGTTATTCCAGTTTTGTGGGAAGACAGGCCTACAGACAATCCCGAACAATGAGCCGACTAGATTAGAGCATCTTCAAGCTGCTTCGGGAACAGAGCAGCGAGAACGGAGTTCTTCCTGGGTGTATTAAGAAAGGCTTCAGAGGGTAGGTGACAATTGAATTGGGCTTCACAAAATGAAGATAAATTTGCCCAATAAATAAAGGAAGAAAATCATCCCAAGCAATAGAAACATGGTTTGGTTTGGTTTGGTTTCATGATAAGTGAAAATTGTGATATATTAAGGGTATGATAGTGTAAGAATCAGGAAGGTTTAAAAGATCAGGTGTGATTGGCATCTGGATTAGGGTTATGTAGGGACTAAAGAGCAGGACCCTGGGCCTCTGGTTCCTGAAATATGGAGTTATAGTTTAAAACCCCAATATATCATCATTTACATTAAAATATACCATATTATTTTCATTAATTTGTATTTTAATAAAAATATGGAAAATATGGACAAGTGCTTAAAAACACAGGTTCCAGGCTAAAACTACCTGGCTTTAAATCCTGGTTTTACCGCTTATTATCAGCGAGACCTCAGGCAAATAACTTCTTCAGCCGAGCCTGGTTTTCTCACTTGTAAAACGAGGCTGATCATATGAATGCACACCACCCAGTGTTTTGTGAAGATTAAGGAAGAAAATTGGTGGGAAGGTCAGGCATATAGAAAGCATTCAACAAATGTGAGCCATTGTCATCAGCCTCAGCAAGCGAAAGTCCACCAGCAAATCCTGCCCACATTCTGTTTTTATAGACAAAGTTTCATTAGAAGACAACCTCGCCAGTTTATGTATTGTCTGTGGCTGCTTTCACTTAGCAATGGCACAGTTGACGAGTTGTGACAGAGATGCTATGGCCAGCAAACCTAAAACATTTATTATCTGGCCCTTTGCAAAACAAGCTTGTCAGCTCCTGCTCTATATAGTTCGGCAAACTTAGTTGGTTTATCATATTAGGGTTCATAATTAATACAATTAATATATAATTAATACATTTGTGGCAAACACCTTACAGAGTATTTTCATATTATCACATTTAATTCTCACAAATCATTACCGATTCACAGGTAAGCAGACACAATCTAAGAGATTAAAAATTTGCTCAAGGATAAAGCCAGACCATAAAGAGTGAACCAACACTCAAACCCAGGTCTGCAGACTTACGGTAAATCTCAGTGTTCGATTATATCAATATTTATTACACAATGTCTAATCCTTCCCCATTAAGGGCAAACTAAATGAAGAGGGTGTCGAATTTTTTATTGGTCGTTGAGACCAAGACAGTAGTCAAATTGTGGAATGATTATCTTGATAGCTAAGGTATAATTTCATTTGTTTTCACAAAAGTTATCTTAACCTCAATTTGTGTTGCTTGTAGACTCCTCAGAGAACATCAAGAAGTCTTATCAGAGATCATCATCTGCGGAAAAGAAAACTAACGAAACTACTTCCATCATAAATAACTCTGAAAAAACCAGGAATGACTTACTTACCATTTTAGATACACTAACCTCAAAAGAAAGCTTGTCATTGGAAAAGTTAAAGCATATTGAGATACCAGATGTCCAAGCATTGAAGCAAAAGGTAAATATTCATGATGGTGTAGTAAACAATCTGTGGTTTCTCCCTGGTAAACAGGCCTCTTCGATTGTATTTTCCTGTCTTAGATTTTATTAATTTTTAATTTTTAATTTATTTTATAAATGTATGTAGCAAATATGCTCTGTTCTATAATGTATAAATAACAAATATATTTTTTATTTCTTAAGTCAAAGTTTCAGAAAAATCAAAGAATAAAATTGTTGCTTGATTTTATTATTTTATATTATTTACTATTTCCTGCCTCCTTATAAGTAAAAGGTAATTTTTATTTTTAGAAAATGAAATTAACATAAAAATGCTAGACATTTGTCAATTTCCCTCCAAAACTGTTAAGTATAAAAATAACACTGATTGGCACAATTCTGATAACAATAAATTTAGATACTGATTCAGTTACTAGGTCACATCTATGTACTTAAACATAAACAACTACTGAAGAAACACATGTGAATATAGCAGTGCCTTGCCTCAGTGAGCCTGGATGTCACTCGAAACAAATCTGCCAGCAAGTAGCTTTTGAACTAACATAAGTCGTTTCTGTCGTCAGGTGTGTGGAGAACCAGGGGATGTGCCATGTGAGCGCGCATCCCATGGTGGCCCAAGCTGTTGTGACCCCCTAACCTTCTTGGCGAATGCCCTTCAGAGAGCTCAGGAAGCAGAGTCTATGTTTCGTAATTTGAGCAATCATGTTCAAGGGTTAAAGAATCAGGTAAATAATGTCTTCTCTTGCTTTATTTGTAAAGCTAGAGCAATAAAAAAAGCAAATTCTTTGAAATTTCAAAAACTGCCATTTAGCTTCTAAGCAAAAGGATAGATTCTAGATATTAGGTCTTCTTATGCCTGGAAATATAGGATAAAATATAGATATGAATATAAATGTAGATTTAGAAGTAAACATGAATATTGATATTTTTTCTATTTCTATAATAATATTTGTATATACGATGGTGGGACAATTAAGTTTGTGAACTTTCCACTGAGCACGCCTGTGTCTGTGTGTGTGTGTGTGTGTGTGTGTGTGTGTGTGTGTGTGTGTAAATATATTTGTAGGACATAGACTTGTGTGGACATGTTTTTTTTTATATAGCAAACTGCATAGAAATGTGAAGACTCCTAGCCTTGGAGTTTTGAAAACTAAAGATCTCTCAAAGTAAAGAAAAATTTTTCATCAGTTCAAGGGTATATTTGAAATCTACCAAATACACAAAGTTTAATGTTAGAATTTAATTTAATGTTAGAAAATATTTTAATAGGAATATACATTATGCCGTGAACTCCTTCCTATGTTGATAAACATGATAAAGTTGTTTTAATATTTAAGTACCTGATAATTGAATTGCTAATAATTTTAAGTGATTTCATTTACTTTTCTGATCATGTTGATAAATGAATATAATTTTTAATTACCTAGTTTTCTTTAGGTTTTTTTTGTGAATACATTACATTGAAAAGATGAATAGTTTTAGGTTTAAGAGTGATTTAGCAATCTCTTTCTGAATAGGCATCCACTAATCTCCACTGAGATTTCATCTGTGGATACATTGTATACATCTTGAAAGGATGAATACAATTTTAGGTATTCTGTGAGTACATTGTATCATCTTGAGAACAAGATGATGATGTGCTCCATAGCTTGCTGCTTTTTGACAGTATACATAGAGACTTAGATGAAGAAAAAGCTCTTAAAGAGCTGACTTTGTTTTTGTTTTAGCTGAGTCATCCTGCCACCTGTTGGCAGCTCAGCTCGGGCCGGGAATTGAACCGACGACCCTGTTGCTCAGAGCTTGCACTCTTGAGCGAGCTCTTAACCAACTGAGCCACTCCATTGGCCCCTGATTGTTTTTTTTTTTACCAATTTAAGTTAACTATTATATCAGTCAGCATTCTTGTTTGCAAGCAACAGAAGCCAACTCCTGAACAAAAAGGAAATGTATGTGAAGACAGCTCAGAATTGAGAGGAGGAGAGAGGGCCAAGCTTGAGGAAGGGGTGAGAAGCACAGCTGTGCTACATGCGTGGGCACACACGCAGACATGCACATGAACACCCACAAAGAGCAGCAGTTTGCTCTGTGAGCCTGAGCCCCAGCTGGTACTGCATTCCTGCTCCACATGCTCCAGGATCCAGGTCAGGGGCAAGCCTCATTAGCTAAGCTGGAGAGTTTCCCTGTACATGCTAAATGTTGAAAAATTTTATTTACATAGTCATAATTCTGTATTGCTACATAGTTTTTCACTTACAC